CTGATCGAAATCCCGTTGTACCCTGAGGTAACCACCTTCACTGTCCTCTACACCCACAATTTTGGTATAGTTTGCAAAGCTGCTAAACATATTTCATACATTCAGATCCAAATCAGTTATATAAATGACAAAAAGCAGTGGACCCAGCACCAATCCTTGCAGCCCACTGCTGGGCACAGGCTTCCGAGAAACAGCCCTCTACCACCATTATCTGTCTCCTATCTTCAAGCAATTTTTTATCCAATTGGCTAGGTCTCCCCCGGATTCCATGTGATCTAACCTTGTTATCCAGTCTGCCATGTGTAACCTTGTTGAACGCCTTAGTGAAGCCTATATAGACATTGTTCGACTTTCATCAATCCTCTCTACCACCTCTTAAAAATATACTTGATCCAGCTGGTAGGACACAATTTCCCACGCACAAAGACTATAATCAGTCCTTGCTTTCAAAATGCATGTAAAACTTAACCCTCTGCATCACCACCAACAACTTACCCACTACTGACATCAGACTCACTGTTCTATAGTTCCCTGGCTTTACCTTACCAGCTTTCTTGAACAAATCAAGAGTACGGGGAAAGGGCAGGGAAGTGGACGTGACCACATTCCAGTCTTCTGGCACCTCACCTTGACTGTCGATGATGTAAAAATCTCAGTAAGGACCTCAGCAGTCTCTTTCCTAGCTTCCTACAATGTATAACTAAATTCATATTATTGCAAGAAATTTTATAATTTATTCCGACATCAAATGGTGTTCTATAGAAATAGGTTAAGGGCAGTCATTCCTATTGGATTCAAAGGTGCACGCATTTCATTACCCAGCAGCCTTGCTTCCACGTCCCTTTGTTAAATACACGTAATAAAGCACATTATACCAGAATTCTCAACCCTTTGGAGGGAAGAGAGCTACTGTACTATGGAAATAAATTCCCATTTCAATCCTGAAAGGCCGAATTAGGCCATAAGATATAGGGGCATAATTACGCCATTCGCCCATTAGGTCTGCACTGTTATTTCATCATAGCTGACATATCTTTCTCAATCTCATTCCCCTATCTTCTCCCATAAGCCTTGATTCTCCTTACTAATCAAAAATCAATCTCTGCTTTAAAGGCACTTAATAACTTGGCCACTATGGCCTTGAGTTCATTAGATTCACCACCCACTGTCTGAAGAAATTCCTCCTCATTTCAGTTTTACGGGGTCACCAGTTCAGTAGGAGGCCGTGCCCCAGGTCTTAGACTGTACTACTCGTGGAAACATCTTCTCCACGTCCACTCTATCCAGGTTTTTCAGCATTCTGTTTCAGCAAGGTCCCGCCTCAACCTTCTAAACTTCAATGAGTATAATCACAGAATTCTCAACTGTTCCGCAAATAACAAGCCATTGCTCTCCAGAATCGTGTTGTAAACTTCCACTGGACCTCCTTCAAAGCTAGCCCAGCTTTTCTTAGATGGGGCGGGTGGGGGGGTGGGGTGGGGGGGCAAAACTGCTCACAACATTCCGAATACAAGCTGACAACAGCATATCCAGCTTTAGCAATGCATCCCTTCTTTCTCAAATGGATTCCTTAATTTAGACTGTGCCACTTTGTCTGGAATCATTGTGAGGGACTCCTGGGTAAACTGCGTCTATCTCAGAATCTGTGCATCTGCCTCAAGCAGTTATTCTTGGTGATTCCGTCAGTTAATCGCCTTTGCATAATCCTGTCCTCATTCAACACGAACAATGTATACACGTTAAAGCTCTCTACAAGCAATGCAATTTCATGAAATATAATCCATATTATCATACAGACACTTTATCCATAGCATGGTTATCTATGAGTTAAGTGACTTTTTTTGGAATTGCTCATTGGATAAGTTACGACTTCAACTCAGCTTTATTCCAAACACAAAGTACATGAACAAGTATGCTGGATCTCAGTTTACAATAATAAGGTCAACCATCATGCTGCCAATGACTTCTGTTTATTGTAAATTAGTGCCCATGCTAAAGGATTAGGAATAGTACATTTAAGTTACTTTTACACAGCCCAGAAATAGATTTCTTTTTTTCTCTTGCACCTTTTCACTACTCCGCAGATGACAAATGGCTCAATTGCTCTTTTCTTTATTAAAACTGTGTTTCTAGATGAATGAATTTGGTCAACAATCTCTCTAAAGACAATTACAGTTCAGCCAAGCTATAGTGAAATTTGGGAATGTCTTGGTCTTTAATGCAAAATAATGCAACTATTTTAATGTCGGCCCATCCTATCTGCAGCTCTTTTGTAATGTTGGCCAACAGCAACATGAGACGTCATTTCTCTTCTGCTGGGCCATTCGTTACCTGAGGTTTTTCTCAAATTTCAGATAATTTATCCTAGTGGTTTGTAAACCTTTAGTACTCAATCTACAGCCAAGATTCAGCATTAAATAAATTAATGCAATAAATTAATGGAGCCAGTTTCTTTTTCTGTCTCGTGCATCAATTGAGATAACTTCTGTTTTGTAAATCTCACTGACCCGTTTTGTGAACTCTGGTGCACAAGCACCGTTGCTTATGGCACCCCATTTATTTGCATTTTCTATCCCAAAAGAAGCCTCATTTATTCTACTACCCGTTTCCTCTCTGCTAAGCAACTTCCATTACTTACCAGTGTATTACTACAATCCCATTGGCTTTGATTTTGCATTCTAAGAGTGTAACATTCTGGGAAGCTGGACAGAATGGGCTCAGGGATGATAATTATCGACCAACCGGCATAGTCTCAGAATAAGTTTAAGACTGAGACACGGAGCATTTTATTTTCTCTCAGAGGTTGTGAGTCTTTTGAATTCCGTACCACAGAGAGCTGTGGGGGCAGAGTCCATGGAAATATTTAAGGTTGAGATAGTTTCAATAGTTGAGATAAATTGATCGGTAGAGAAATCAAGAGTACGGGGAAAGGGCAGGGAAGTGGACGTGAGGAATATCCGATCAGCCATGATCATATTCAATGGTGGAGTAGTCTTGAGGAGCTTCATCCTGTTCCTATTTCGGTTGGTTTTATCACATCAGCCCTCCCACCATTCTCACTTTGCTCTACCACATATACATCCTACCCCAATCTCCTGAAGGAGCTGATTCAAACTGACTGATAGACTCACGTTCATTTCTTACTGCCTTAGCGATCATAAACAGGCAGTGGGTGCATAGAATAAAACAGGACAGCACAGCGGCTCAGTGGTTAGCACTACTGTCTTTATGGAGTTTTCACGTTTTCCCTATGTCTGTGTACCTCTGCGTGCTCCAGTTTCGTCCCGCGGTCCAAAGACAGGCAATTTCGGTGGATGAACCGCCGTAAAAATAGAATGCGTGGAGATAGAGTGGGATGTTCTTCTGGGGTTGGGGATTGAGCGGAGGTTGGGGGGGTGGTGGGGAGGGTTCAGTGGGGACCTGTTGGGGTGAAAGGTTTCCTTCTGCACTGTAGGGTTTCTATAACAGCAGGTTCCTCAAAATATCTAGAATGTTCTCCTCAGCAGATGTGACACTAATCCCAGATCCAGAGTTTCACACTTCTCCGTACCTCCTGGGAAAATTAGAAGTCTTTTACTTTACAGAGACGGATATTTCAGTAAGTGGGAAAGTTAAAGGGAAATCGGTGCTGTTTCAAATCAAACTGCATGACTTGGAAGAAAGTGAAGCGAGGAGATTTTGCAAATTGCCTTCCTCTCTCATACTCCTTGAGCTAGCGCCAGACAGAGAAAGTGGGGCTGCCCGGGGATTGAATTCTCGCTCTGGCCCGAGAGTGCAGCAGTTACTCTGGAACACTTGGCTCAAGTAAAGTGTGGGGGGAACAATGGGCGGAGGCGGGAATCCTGTCTCCGTGTACCTGGAATCCAGAGACTTCATCATCTATTTCAAGAGAAGATTTTCATTAATTATTCTCACCTACATCAGCCCCATAAACTGCTCAACCGTTCAATTCGATCAGGACTGAAACTTATTCCATATGCTTTGACGCTCTTAACAACGGTTTAGTATCCAGTTTTAAAATGTTCAATTGGTCCTCAATATCCACAACTTGTTGGTACAGCGAGTTCTACATTTCCAACTCTCCATGCTGACATTTTTGTCGGCTAACTGCACTCTTTCAGTCGCCCTAAACGTAAACTTCAAGGAAACACCTCATTTTTCAACTCAGCAAACAATCGTGGAATTTTTCAGTGCAGAAGGAGGCAATTCAACTCATCATACCCGTATTGGCGTTGGAAAGAGCTACCCAGCTAGTCCCATTCCCCAGTTATATCTCGATAGCCCTATAAAGTCTTTATTATATATATATCCAGCTCTTTTTGAAACGTCGTCTAGAATCTGCCTCCACAAATCTTCCATCTTCACCCCCGATACTCATTCCAAATTCTCTTTTACTCACTCCCAGCTCTCATGCTGGCAATCTTGAAAATGTTACACCTAGTTATTGACGTATAAACTCGTGTAAACAGAATATGATTCTTTACCCTGAGAAAATTGTTAATAATTTTGAACATCACGATAATGTTACCTTTTAATCTTCTGTGCTTGAAGGAAAATAAACCCAATTTCTCTAATCTTTCTTTCGACTTAAATTCCCTTATTCTTGGTATCACTCTACTAAATCGCCTTTGCACTCTTTCCAAGACTTTAACATCCTTCCTTTAATAAGGTGCCCAGAACAGAAAACAATACTCTGATGTGGTCTGGAGAATAACTTTTAGTGCAGCATCCCTTCCTTGTATTTTATAATCTATGCCTCTGTTTAGGAACCCAAGGATCCTATAAACTTCCTTAACAACTATTGCAACTTGCCTGGCCATATTCAATAAATTGTGCACTTCAACCCCAAGATTCCACTCCCTCTGTATTCCTCTCAAAGTTATACCACGAACCATTTATTGTCAGACGTGACCTGCCTTGACAGGTTGCTTGGTGTTGGAGAAGAAATTCAGCAAAGTCGTATTTTGTTCACATCGATTAAAGATTTACTAACATTTCCATAATGGCATTTCACATTGTTTATTTTAAAGTTAACAGGAGTGAATAGAATGAGCATCACAGTGAGAATGAAGCACATGTCGGCTCAGCTGCCAATTATTTGCACAACTGAAACAAACACAAGCAAGAAAGAAGAAATGACTCTGCAAACGGGAAGGAATAATTCTGAATAAAGAACAAGAAATATTACTGTCAAATGGAACTCACATTCAAGTGAAATAAGAAACTAATTCATTATCTCAAACTATTCAAATGGAAATACAGACGTAGTTTCCATATTTGTCTCAGCGACAGGTGTGAAAAAATAAACTGAATAAAAAAGTTATTTTTTAAGGAGAAGATAATTCATTTTAAATTCGTCATATAGAGGAATTAATGCTTGAATAAAATCCAGCGTGTCGGATATTCAACAGATCACCTGACCTGCAAAAGAAAAATGGTGTTTATGATCGAGAATTATGTTAGCTTTCAATCAAGTAAATATTCAGGGTATTCTGTCGGTTTGAAGAGTAAGTGGACTGAATCTTCTTACCTTCACTAGAGTGACAGCAGCGCTGTAGAAACTACTCAGGAAGAACAGGGTGATGAACATGGAAGCAGTTGTCCAGATGTTGCTATTTATATCCTGGTAGTCTTCAATCCAGACGTGGTCTGTGGAATCTACCGGAATACAGCCCAAGTAATATAGTTAGTTTGTTAATTTTTCCAGACTATTGTACTCATGAAATTCTATTCTCACTCCCTTAAAGATTGTACTCTAATTTATTTTTAATTGTGTATTAATACTGATTAATCTCTGGCTGAAACAAAATCTATTTTATTATCTCCGCAACCATTCTTCCTTCATAGTCTTCATACTACACTTTGTGGGAACATGGTAGTTTGTCTTCAATGTCAGTTCATTGTTGATCAATTTCAGGCAATTAATTTGAGAAGTGTTGAGGAAGTTTACTGATCGATCGTAACGTTTTTTTTTAACAGACAGCTACTTAATTTGAAATTATTATAGTCACTGCCTAAGAGCTATGTGTGATCATTATTATTTATTGTGGAAACATTCACTGGCTTAGATCAGTTCTTACATAGAAAACTAGAATGTTACAACATCCATGTATATGAGGGAATTATTAGATGGTTATATCTTCTGAATATCGAATTTGAGTTACACATTCTAATATATCCTGACTACTTTTATGGTGTTTTATGATTTGCAAATGTGTATGAGCATCGCCCAATTTTTGTTAAATGCGTCGCTGCTTCATAATGTGCACATTTATCATGTGTCACTGAATGCTGATGTTTGCATTCCTGTATCTTCTCTTTACATGTGTGTACTTTGATATTTCTGTCAACTTGAAAATATGAGCTTGTAAACGTGTCTGATTATATTTTGAGGACTGTTTTTGCACCAAACTCTGTGTTAATTTGTGTTTGTATCCATGGCCACTAATATGGCTGTTTATGTTTCTTTTCTGATCTATATGTCTGTCAGACTATTTCTGTCTGTGTTCTCGTGAAAGTATTTGATTCAGTTAGCTTACATTTCTCAGTTAAAACATGTTAGATTTTGGGTGAAGTGTGTTATATGCTTTTATATTCTAATACCTTTGTCTACAGTCAGTGCATTTGACAGTACATTGATGCGGTTTTCTTTCTATGTTTGTCCTTGAGCTTTTGCTTCTGTTTATCTCTGCATTTATAACCCAGTGTTTGATTTTGTTTATTAAAACAGACATGCTGTAAATACTCAACATGACATCAGTACTCAACATTACATCTGTCAGAGACGCAGATTTTTAATGAGCTGTTGAGTATTTCGACTTTTTCTTTTGTCTTTATGCCAGACGTCCATAACTTATTTTCGTTATTTTGTCTATTTTTTTTCAGTCTGCATATGTGCTTCTCTATATGTCTGCTTATGTTTACTGGGATTGGTTAGCTCAATTGGCCAGACAGCTAGCTTGTTTTCCAGAATGATACCAGCAACATGAGTTCAAGTCTTGCACCAACTAACTCTTCAACCTATATACCACCAGTCGTGTTTTTCTGTCATAAGCATGTGATTCTCCAGGATCATGGTGCCTTTATCTTACCTTTATTTATATCAACTAATGTGTTGGCATAACCTTTGTTTCTGTATTTGTGAAACTGTGCTATTGCATTTGTTAAAAGTTGCGCTTGTCTTTGTGTTTACTTGCGTGAATTTGCCTTTCCATCAATTTGCGAATGGGTGTGTGACGTCAGTCAAATATGCGTTTTGTTTCGGTTCGTTTATATTATTGTTCCAATTTTCATAAAGTACCAGTAATCGAATCAATTCCTGATCAAGTGAATTACGCAAGAACCACCTTCCTGACTCTAAAGTGCTTTCTGTAAGTTGCAAGGTGACATCAGGAACACAAATCCACCAACTCAACCAACGTGTCTCCGAGAGCTTTGTGACAGGACCGTGATGAAAGGGAGGGGAGGGGGACATAAGTAAGGATGTAACTAACATACCTGATTTCATCGTCAGGAGTTGAGCGCAAAATACACATTTTAAACAATAATGTTGATTAAGATTAGTGAATACAGGACGACAACCATGCTGGAAATGTAAGCTCTTTGACGGGAAGCTGCAAGCTGACCTGTGCGTTTTGTCAGCCGTCTGCATATAATAGAAAACAGTTACATTTGAAGCTTTCTGGTGAGTTATTAGTTGCCCTTTAGCCATTTATTTGCTTGGGCATTGTGAAATACATTGATTAACAACTCCCCTTCGAATGGTTAATCCCCTTCTTCGTTGGGGAAGTGGAAGTGCGATGAGCTAATTGATAACCTTTGCTGATGCTATGCAGAAAGGAGCAGGAGGTAACAATTTACCATCCACCTTTTGAGGGAAGTGGATGTACACTGGATTCAACTTATCCTTTCCTGTACCTCTGCTTTGAAGGGGGCAATGTGGTGCCTGTTTGTTTCCGGTTTGTGTGTAGCCCTGAAAACAGGCCTAATGATTTGTTGCTGCAACATTAAGTGGTACCAATTGTAGATAGATTGTTGATGTGCAGAATATTGACACAGAGATCTAAATGGCCTTCATTTGTTTGACAGAAATGGAAACAAAAATAAATCACTTTCACCATTGCAGGAGGAAAGATATTGAAGTTACTCTGAGAAATCCTCAGTAAAAGAGCTTCAGCCTTTTTCTAATTTGTGTTGTATCTGAATTCGAAAGATTGGCTATTCAACAGTTGAACACTAGACCTGGAAATAACCTAATTCAGGTAAATGTTTCTCTCCATTGAAAATCTTGTCAGCGGTATTGCGGGCGGGGCGGTTGGGGGGGGAGGTGCGGTGGTGGTGAGGGAGGTAATTGAGCTGTTATGTGTTAAATGCATGATCGAAAGAAATTGTTTCATTGATTTTTATTAAAGAAGTGAAATGCAATCGACCGATGCTCATTGACACGAATTGACAGTGTCCATCAGTGCAAGGGAAATGTTCACAAAACTCGGTTTACCGCTAGATTTATCGACACTTCTGTTGATGAATTTCAGGGGAATCGCCTCATGTCCCACCATACAAGAGTAAGAGGCACCGTTGGCCCACTCCGCCGCTCTAATGGATAGCAGGCTGTACATAAAGTAGGAAGTATTGTCATTCTCCGCTATCACCTCGGTGTTCTTGTAGTTACCAGGATTCACCGGCTTGTCATTGACGGTCCACTTAACAAAGATCTCTCGGGGGGAGAAACCTCTCACTAAGCAGGTGAGGAAGACGAACTCCTGAGAGTAGAGTTTTTCTGCCAAGGGCAAGAGCACAGATACGGAAGGCACTCGGGGATGATTATCTGCAGAAAGTTGACAAGTTTCATCAGGTTGGAGTATTCCAGAAACAATGAAACTAACGTTTAGGTATGAAAGAAATGCGCTTTGCAACAAACGTTTTGAGAGCTTTCAATTTCCCCTCAATGATTGGACTTTTACCCAGCCGAGGCGGATATAATTACATTCTGAAGGAACCAAAGGAAGAAAAGAAAGATGAACTGGAAGAATATGTGGAGTTTGAAGCATTCTAACGTAGAGTGCAACTCAACTGTCCTACAATGATATTAATTTACCACATCAGCCGTTTACCACAGTACTTCATTTTACCCAAATAGCAGACGCTGCAATGTTTTTTCTGCCTCATAATCACATCTAACTTCCTTTAAATCCCTTTGGATCGCCAAGTGCTCAGTTACTGTCATCAGAAATTGTGTCAGTTCTATTCTTCATTATGGTACTCAGAAGTATAGAGTGACTTACCGGCAATGTAGAAAGTAGGCAAAATGAGTGTCAGATTACTATAATCTCACCTTTTATTTTGCTGATAGAACCTCTTACAGGGGTCGGCAGATTCTGATCGCTTGCCACGCAGAAGAACGTAGCCCCACTCTGCCAGGCTTGTGTAGAGATGTCTATTTTGCTGATCACACTGTGTTGATCCTCTCCCTGTTGAGTAGTAATCTCTGATTTCAAAGGCTTCGTTCCTTGGGTCCAAGACACGTTGACTTCGTAAGCAACGTTAGACACGATGCAAGTTAAGGTCACCGTGTCGTCCAGTAAGACTTGGTCGATTGGTGGTGGCAATAGAGTGATTTTAGGATCGCTGCACGTGGAATCCTCTGTGAAACAGAACCGAGAACCAGCATCTTCAGTATCAGAACTTCAGTATACAAATTTTATTCTCGTGAAGTATAAATAACTTTATGATAGTGAACTCCTTGTCTTTGTTTCTTTTCCCATTCACGGCAAGTGTACAATCTCTGGTTGTCACCTCTTCTGAAATTGTCAGCACTTTTTTGCCCGACCTGTCGCGATTTGTGACCCCTCCAACATTCTCGTCTCAACATTCTTACCAGTAATTAAAACATCCCCAGGTTAACCAGTCAATCCAAGTAATGTTTGTAATGCTGATGTGAAGTATTCTAATGTGTGTCCAAATTGAGTGTTCCTTGTGTTCACGGAAGGAAATATGTCATAGGCGTAGTTCGAGGAATATAGGAGTAGAACAAAAATATGCCCCGACTGCTGTTCTGCCAATCAATGAGATAACGTGTGATCTGTTTCTGAATTCTAATTACCTTCGTGCGCTGTGCAATCTTTGATGCTCTTTCCTGAAGAAATAAACACTACTATCTTCAATTTCTAGAACAAGCATTACTTGAAGACCAGACTCAATAGTTAGTGTGCGTGAGGGGAGGGGCAGGGTGTTTGGTGAATATTTGAACATTCCAAAGCCGTTGAGTGAAGAAATCTTCGCTAACTGTACCCCAAAATGTAGTTGCTGTCTTTAAGATTTCAACTTTTAGTTGTGAAATTACACCGTAATGTTTTGAACTCATTTTTAACTCCATTACCAAATTAATCACCTTAATGAGATAATCTGTTAGTTTTACTCTCGAAGGAATGAAAACCTCGACTTTTCAGTCTGTCATTGACAATGTTCAAAGAGAATGCCGTTACAGAAATAGAGACATTTTTTTTGCTTGAAGTAGGTTTTGAACAATTAGCTGCACTTGGTCGCCGACCTGAATTACCAATTCACAACAGCATCATTCATTTTAAGATAAAAATTAAGCAAAATTATCCTCAGCCACTATCCAACATTTCATGAAATGCTCCTGTTGTGTGGTTAGTGCATGGAATCCTGAAGTCTGTGTAATTCTCATTCAGAAAGATTGTGAGATCAATGTTAATTCGAAAGAATTGAGCACAAATTTAAGCTGACACCAGCAACATCGCATGAGCGAATACTAAATTCTTCAAGATGCAGACTTTGCAGGAAATGCTAAACCAAGGACCGCAAGTCCTCTTAATTTGCTTTAAAATCTCCCGCGTTATTAATTCCAAGGGAACTAGCTTCTGTTTTTGTTATAGACCAGAAATTATTCGAAAAAAAAACTCAGCAGCGAGTCTGGTTCTTGGTCAACAATTATCCCTTAACCTGCAGATGAAACTAAAGGAAATAATCGACTCAGCATGACATCATATTGCTATGCAGCAAATGGCTGTCGAATATCTTACATTGCAGCAATGACCGAATAGAAAAGATTGGCTGTTAAATATCTTGGGACATTCTGATGTTCTATAAAGGAAAGTCTTCCTTTTACTTTGGAAGATTGCAAGATTATTAAATAATATAAATTATATCAGTTCCAATGGAGCTCGCGACTTTGAGATTGGTGCCAGAATGGGCTCCCAGTGTTGTGGGGCCTAAACCCCACCTCTTCCTCCGTTACATTGATGACTGTATCGGTGCCGCCTCGCGCTCCCACGAGGAGCTCGAACAGTTCATACACTTCACTAACACCTTCCACCCCAACCTTAAATTTACCTGGACCATCTCTAACACCTCTCTCCCCTTCCTGGACCTCTCTGTCTCCATATCGGGCAACCACCTCGAAACCGATATTCATTTCAAGCCCACCGACTCCCACAGCTACCTAGAATACTCCTCCTCCCACCCACCTTCCTGCAAAAATGCTATCCCCTATTCCCAATTCCTTCGCCTCCGCCGCATCTGCTCCCAGGATGAGGCATTCCACTCCCGTACATCTCAGTTGTCCTCGTTTTTCAAGGACCGTAACTTCCCCTCCTCGGTGGTCGAGAACGCCCTCAACCGTGTCTCCCACATCTCCCGCACCTCATCCCTCACACCCCGTCCACGCAATAAAAACCAAAAAAGAATCCCCCTCGTCCTCACGTACCACCCCACCAACCTCCGGATCCAACGCATCATCCTCCGACACTTCCGCCATCTGCAATCCGACCCCACCACCAAAGACATCTTTCCCTCCCCACCTTTATCTGCTTTCCGGAGGGACAACTCTCTCCGTGACTCCCTTGTCCGCTCCACACTCCCCTCCAGCTCCACCACACCCGGCACTTTTCCCTGCAACCGCAGGAAGTGCTACACCTGCCCCCATACCTCCTCCCTCACCCCCATCCCAGGCCCCAAGAAGACTTTCCACATCAAGCAGATGTTCACCTGCACATCTGCCAATGTGGTATACTGCATCCGCTGTACCCGGTGTGGCTTCCTCTACATCGGTGAAACCAAGCGGAGACTCGGGGACCGCTTTGCAGAACACTTACGCTCGGTTCGCAACAAACAACTGCACCTCCCAGTCGCGAACCATTTCAACTCCCCCTCCCATTCCTCAGACGACATGTCCATCCTGGGCCTCCTGCAGTGCCACAACGATGCCACCCGAAGGTTGCAGGAACAGCAACTCATATTCCGCTTGGGAACCCTGCAGCCCAATGGTATCAATGTGGATTTCACAAGTTTCAAAATCTCCCCTCCCCCCACCGCATCCCAAAACCAGTCCAACTCGTCCCTGCCTCCCTAACCTGTTCTTCCTCCCACCTATCCCCTCCTCCCACCCCAAGCCGCACCTCCATCTCCTACCGACCAACCTCATCCCGCCCCCTTGACCTGTCCGTCCTCCCTGGACTGACCTATCCCCTTCCTAACTCCCTACCTACACTCACCTTTCCTGGCCCCATCCCCGCCTCTTCGACCTGTTTGTTTCCTCTCCACCTATCCTCTCCTCTATCCCTCTTCTATCCGCCTCCCACTCTCTCCCTATTTATTTCAAAACCCCCTTCCCCTCCCCCTTTTCTGATGAAGGGTCTAGGCCCGAAACGTCAGCCTCTCTGCTCCTATGATGCTGCTTGGCCTGCTGTGTTCATCCAGCCCTGCACCTTGTTGTCCCAGTGTTGTGTGTTGTTTTTCTTACCAGAAGATCTGGTGATGTTCTGAATTTGGGTGAACCGTTGGTGAGTAACCTGGCAGGAAAAGACCGCATTGTCGAACCACTCCCTAGCAGTGAATGTGAGACGACTGGTGGCTGAAAAGTTGCCGTTCACTTCAAAGGTTGGGGAAGTGACAAAGCCCGAAGGGATGACTTGTCCATTCTTCAGCCAATTTACAGCGATTGAGTTTGGACGGAAATCAACGATTGAACAGACGACAGTTGCAAATCTGCTGCTCATGACTTCTTCACTAGGACTCGCGGTGAGGATAATAGTTGGATGACGGATAACAGGATCTTCAAGAAAATGCATAAGATAGGAAATTAAATTTTGTTGCGAATCAACCAAGTAAAAGCTGTCTGTCTTTTTACAAAACAAATGAGAAAAACATGCCATTGAAATCAACAGTTGAATCTCAGCGTTCAAACCCCCTCACAAAAATCCTGTGGCGTTACTTGCTCTTGCTGCATCAAAAGAATGCAGTTTCGATTCTACCCAGTGGACCTATTCGGTTTCCCCTGGAGGCAGCTATACAATGCTTCAACTGTCGTGAGTTCCACATTCTTCTCGTAAGAACATAAGAAACAGAAGCAAGAGTAGGCCATCTGGCCCGTCGAGTTTGCCTCCGCCATTCAGTAAGATCATGGCTGATCTTTTGCTTGGACTCAGCTCAACTTCCCGCACGTTCACCATAACTCTTAATTCCTTTACTGTTCAAAAATCTATCTATATTTGACTTTAAAAATTCAGCGAGGTAGCCTTACCTGCTTCACTGGACAGATAATTTCACAAATTCATGATCGTTTGGGTGAATAAATTCTACCTCAGTTCAGTCTTAACTCTGCTCCCCGTTATTTTGAGGCTACACCCCCCCTAGTTCTAGTTTCACTCACCAGTGAAAGCAACTTCCTTACTTCTATCTTCTTCACTCCCTTCATAGTTGCATATGTTTCTGTAAGTTCTCCCCTGATTCTTCTAAATTCAACTGAGTATAGTCCCAGTCGACTTAATCTGTCCTCGCAAGCCAACACTTTCAACACTGGAATTAACCGAGTGATCCTTCTCTGCATCCCCTCCATTGACATGGTTCATGGAATAGTGTTCTTCTGAATTGCTAAATGGATTTGTCTCATCTAACTATCTTCTAATTAAGTCTGAACAGCTGTAATTAGTCACATCCCACGTGCTATTTTGTGAGAAAATGCACCAGCCTTTTCGAAATTTCTTGACAGTAATAACCAATCGATTGTAGCATCATCTTTGTAGGTGGGCTCATTCCTCTCCAGTTTCCCAGAACAATCCACAAAAGCGGAATCAAAACAATACTCTAGGTTTAACATAAATGTTAAGGCTCGTCACAGTGCACTAAGTGATTTGTGGAGTGCAGACTTGTTCGCAATATGCTAAGTGCATTGTGGAAAGCAGAGCTGTAAATAGTATGCCAAATATGAAATGGAACTATACAGAATGGAGAAAGCGTGATATGGAGATGACAAACATCAGCAGTAAACTAAGTGTGAGTTGCTTACTTGAGCTATGCATCGTACTTTAATCTATTCTAAACCACATACTCCAGAATAGGAACATAACTTATTTGTGTATTACATTTTTTGACACTTTGCAACTACTGCCCTGTTTAGCCCAGACCACTAACCTGGCATTTCTTTTCTCCAGACTTTCTCGCTTTGATGGACCTCACAGTAGATTCTGCTGCTTCCCACCTCTGATTCAGAGATTGTTAACTGGCTACTTAGGCTACGCGTTCCCTCCTTATTCAGCACTGATGGGTAAGTCTTCAGTCCACTGTCAATCGGATCTTGCTCCTTCTTCCAAGTAAGGCTGGTGATTTCGGGGGAGTAGTCCATCACCAGACAGCCATAAGTCACAGACTTGGGTGTGCTTAGTTGTTCACAGGAGGAGAGCAAGCCATACAGGGTGGGGAGTGACTGTGTCACTGATAAAGAAAGAACAATAGAGCAAGTTATATTTTTCAACTAGTCCTTAACATTTATTTTATTCACTTGGGGGATGTGGGCATAAATGGCTGCGCAAACATTTATTGCCTGCCCCTGATTGGCCTTGAGAATGTGGTGGCGAGCTGCTTTCTTGAACATCTTCTGTTCATGTGCTGTAGACAGTCAAATAATGTCAGTAAGGAGGGAATTCCAGGAGTTTGACCTGAATAAGCAAACAGGTTGAAACTTGAATGTTTGTAATCTAATTTAAATGAGCTACGTTTATGAGTGAAAATTGAACCGACAAGAAATACATCGTGTAAAGCAAGTCTTTTACACAATTTAAGACACATACCTGAAATAGACTTTCTGCCAAAGAAGCCCATTTATCGGAAACAAATGGTGTATTATTGTATTCTGAATTTCTTCTATTTCATTGCTACTTTAAAGAAAACTTCACTCATTCCCAAACCACTTTCACCTTATCATTCATCAGCGTTACTTCCTCTACACCCGTATTTAAGTTGTTATTTTATCAGTCTCTTTTTTCAATCATGGATATGGGCATCGCTGGATGGACCAGCAAGTATTGTCTGTCTTTAATTGCCCACGAGAACGTGGTGGTGAGCTTCCTTCATAACAGATGCTGTCTTTGTGATGTCGGAAGATCTACAATGCCGTTAGGAATGGAATTCTAAGATTTTCACCTGTCCACACTGAAGGAATGACTGTATTTCCAATTCACTATGGTGGATGACTTGCGGGGAACGTGCATGTGCCAGTGTGTCTACTGCCATTTTCCTTCGAGATGGACGAGGTACAGAGATTGGAAGGTGCTGTGTAAGGACTTCTAGTGAATGTCAGGAGCGCTGCTATTACTGAGTGTTGGTCGTGGACAGAATGGATGCTTGTGGATGTTGTGCCAGCCAAGTCAGTTGTTTTCTCCTGGCTGCTGTCAAGCCAGTTGTGCCTTATTGGAGCTGCACTTATCTAGGCTTGCAGTGTGTACTCTGTCACACTCCTCATTTGTGCCTTGCAAATGGTGGTCAAGTATTTGGGAGTCAGAAGGGGAATTACTCGCTGCAAGATTCTGACCCTCTGACCCGATCATGTAGCTGCAGTATTTATATGGCAAGTTCAATTAATTTTCTGCTCAATTATAACCTGCAGGGTGTTGACAGCGAGGGTATTCAGTGATTACTATTTGAATGCAAATGGCGATGGTCAGTTTGTCTTTTATTTGATATGATAAATGTCAGGAATTTGTGTGGTGTAAATGTTATTTACCAAATTTCAATCCAAGCCTGGATATTGCCCAGGTCTCGCTGCAATTAGGAATGGATTGCTTCAGTATCTGAGGAGTCGCAACTGCTGCTGAATATTGTGTGATCATTGGCGAAAATCCCCATTTCTAATTTTATGATGGAGAGTAGGTCAAAGAGTCATAGAGTCATAGAGTCATACTGTACGGAAATAGACCTTTCGGTCCAACCAGTCCATGGAAAACAAAATCCTGACCTAAACTAGTCTCTCTTGCCTGCTCCTTGCCCATGTTCCACCAAGCATCCCCTATTCATGTATCTTTCCAAATGTCTTTTAAACATTGTAATTGTTGTAATCCATCACTTTCTCAGGAGGTTAATTCTACACACGAGCCATCAATCAGTGGAAAGGAAATCTGTCATGCTTACCTCATCTGGTACAGTGACTCCAGACCACAGCAATGTGTTCAACTTTTCACTGTCCACTGAAATATCTGAGCAAAGTTCTCAATTCCGTTTATGGGTGGCAACAAACGTTGGCCTTGTCAGTGACGCTAACATTCCACAACAGAATAAGGTAAGAAGCTGAACTACTTAAGAACTAACCAAAGTGAGAATATAATTATCTGGAATTTCGGTATACCTAGATCGACAAGCCGATGGGTGGACAGGTGGACAGAATGGTTCAAAACACCACTAGAAGGAATGGAAAATTCACTCAATGGAATGCCAAGCAGTCAAACGTCGTTCTCGTAGGTGAGAGAGACAAACTCTACGAGTAACGTTCCTTCAATCATTGGCTGATACGTTATCACATTTGCTGCTGATGTGGTAACAAGTGCGCAACAAATGCGAGAAAGAAACAGTCTGCAATTGAACGAGCATGGGAAAGCATTTAGATGTGGTAGCTTTGAGAAAGTTAATGGAGTTGAAAAGTTGTCTGTGCTGGTGTGGAGCAGTGAGGTGTAGGAGAAGGCTGCAAGGATGCGGACGAGAAGGCAGCTAGAAAGAGGTGCCCATAGAATTTGAGGCACGGAGACAGCAATATAATGGAGCAAAAACGGTTACCAAGTTTTGGCAGCAACAAAGACTACAAGGAAGTGCTGGTGGACAATGGCTGCACAGAACTAAAGTTAAGAATGAAGTAGCAACTAAATGTAAACAAAGATTAGGAATGTCAAGAGGAGAAGGGGACGCGGCAGGAATACAGAGCTGCAACAGTGTGCAGGGAGTAGGAGATCCCAAGGTATTAATGGAAATGAAGGCTGAAAATGCTGTTGAAGAAAACGAGGCAGCAAATCGAGTGAGAGGGAAGTTGTATGTGGAGAGAGGGGAATGCAACGTGGACATGAGCTCTGAAGTTTGCTTTGGTAGTCCGGAATGCGCAGAGGGAGTTTGAAATTGGATTTGTGAGGCTGCATTGGATGGATAGTGCAAACGAAAGAAAGTAGGTTTGAACCTGGCAGAGAAAAACAAATATTTGGGAAAGAATAGGGCAGGACTTGAAAATGAATGCAAAAACACAGAACGAAACTTGTAAAATCTTGGTCCTATTATTTGTAGTGAACTTGATGATGATGAACTGCTTGTCAACTGTTTAATAATAATCTGAGTTTGAATTCTGAGAAGGCAATTTTTTTTAAAGTACCGTTTTGGTTTAGATCTTCTAGACGTGTAGAGTGTAAACAATGGAAACGAATCATTGTGACGATTCCAGTGCACTGAAAGTATATTTAAGGTTTTTGCTTGTTGTGTGTGGAAGTTTGAGAAGTTATTTTGATTTATTTTTGTTGCTCATCTATGTATTTTGTCTTATGCCAATTTAAATCTGCAGTTGTCTAATGCAATTATTGCTTTCCTTCTGCACTCTGCTTATAATTTTGTTGAAAGATTAATAATTATTGAGAATATTATGTAATTACTCTATTTTTTTCTCTAGTGCACCAAATACCAGGTGTATTACTCCAAACATTAAAAAAACAACTGAATATAATAAGTGCACAAGAATGAAATAGGTCCCATTGAAAGCCAAAAGTATAGTCCGTGGGGAAAATCAAAAGAATTTTCATTCGTAGACTTTTCTCGATTGATTGATCGATCAATAGATAAATAGAAGAAAAAAAGAAACAGAAGCACTCTTTGGACTTAGCCATTAAATTATCCTAATTCACATGCATCGCTGGTTAGATTAAATAAAAAAAATCTTTATCTAAACTATTTAATTTATGAAGATGAGTTACTGATAATGTTAAACCATCTTTCTCTTCTCATTTATTAGTATCTCTAATTGTAATAGAAGCTGTGCTTTTCATAGACATGGAGATGAATTTCTCCTATAATCTGCCATCAATTATTCAAATCGCTGTTTGCATTAGATAGAAATTGAAGCAACATAATTGACCAATTCAGCCACAAAATTACGATCCAGCTTCTATCACATCACAACCCATACTAATATCTATAGCTTTATACCGACTTTGTGAAATTATTTGGAAGGAGAGATTTCGATCAAAACAATCTTGTCTTTTTTTTAATTGAAGTAGAATATGTTTCACCATTATCATTTAATCAATAACAGCGGAAATTATTGTTGTTCTCTTCTGTTTGGTCACAAATGTGAACTAAATCTGTTTGATTTGAATAACAGAGCAATTTATGCTTGCTGCATCTAGGTCAAACACGAAATAAAAACCAAAAGAACTGTGGATGCTGTAAATCAGGAACAAAAACAGAAGTTGCTGGAAAAACTCAGCAGGTCTGGCAGCACCTGTGAAGAAAAAATCAGGGTAAATGTTTCGGATCCGGTCACACTTCCTCAGAACTGAACAGTTCAAACACTGGATGTTCGTTAGTCTGATAAAAAAAAGATTCCCTTTCCCACGGACAATGAAAAATCTTTTAGGCCTGACACATCATTGACAAGTTAATCTAAAGATCTCTCTGCATCGTCTCGACAAGCGAAGTAATCTCTAAAGAAGCCAGCTGGGTTGAATTCTGAAGCTGACTTGATACTCCACCGTGACTAAAAACCTGCTGTATTATCGAACATCAAACTTCCACACACCAGGCATATCAACACTGAAGAGATTAACGATTCTTCTCCACTTTGTCTGTACTGAAATATTGCTTCCCTATGCCTCAAACTGGGTTACGTCTCTTTTCTGAGACACTGTTTCAAACTTCAAGGTGAATTAGCACTTTCCTTATAGATATAAGCTTCTGAAATAAATCCGTTGATCTCGAATTTCATGCTGAAATATAAGGAAACTAATCGGTTCATAACCACTCAGATGGATTTCTGATTCTTACATATCTTACAGAATCAGACCAGGCAAAATTGATGCAGCAATCATTCACTGGACTAATATAACTCTAATTTCTGCTTATTTCCTTGAAACGTTTTAGGTTGATTGAATCTTTCGGCAATTTCAGACAATGCAATTCGTTTCAACATTTCTCTCAAGCTCATACTAACTTGACAGATTTCCCTGACTGGCTATCATTTCTCCTGTCAAATATACAATCTTCAATTCTATGTAACACTTAGTTTCCTGATAACAGCTACATCAAAATAATTTACATGCATGGCAATTATATTGCTGTAACAGGCATTCAGTAACATGGTAAAAAGAAGTAACGCATTACGATGCGTATACATTGAATATTGACTATTCACTGATTTGAAATAATCTCGGAATTAAACACTAGCAAGAAAAATGTCGAGGTTAATCACAAAGATAACAGGTTAAAATTTGTAGTGTCATCTTATCCAGTCAAAGGGAGCTGAGCAAAAAAAGGCTTTCTGAATTAATTGACAACAATTAAACATTCTCTTCAACCAATAGATTTTGCATTATCTGTAATTCTCTATACGATGCAATGCATATGCGAGTGGTCATTGTTTTTAGTGCATTGTCGTTATTATAATCTAGTTCTCTACTGCTGCTCGTTTGTTCTTTTATGCCAAATGACTTAATTGTAACGTGTTTACGACTTGTCCTTTCTGAAATGACATTTTCTAAAAAAAAACAATATTAATATATATCGTTAATAAAATACTAAATAACATGCATATTTGTAGAGACGAAGCATTTTCTTTTAATATACGCATTTTTAATATTTAAGTTCTTCAATAAGCATTGTGCTGCTCTTTACTAACTGACCTATAAATTCTTCATGTTTCTGACCATGGTGAAATGACGTAAAGAGCATCTATTCTCAAAACTGTTGTCATTGAGTGTGGGCAATTTTACCTTGTGTGAACGCTATCTGAGTACTCAGCTCAGTAATGAATAATGGATAGCAAGATAAGATGTGCACGAAAGCGGGACTCTATATTTAAAATAGTATCCGAAGGCATAACTGTAGAATGAACATCAATATCTATTTAAATAAATATTGTTGGCTGTCATTTCTGTTCGTTAATTGAATATTTGGGATTTAGCAATCCTGACAAACTTTTATAAATCATTCCAACAATTCATGCAATGCATGTATATTAAATTGCAAATATATTCTGGAATTTATTGGAAGTAAAATCCAGGATGATCAAAACAAAACTGAGTGACAGCAAAATATTAGTATTATCTGCTACGTTGGTTTTAAGCACCACCTGCTCCTCAGAGGTACCTGGTCAGACTCACTCAAAATAACTTAGAGCCCGGCAGCTCTTCAGTTTCAAAGTGTTATTTACAATTAAACTAACCTGCTTTAATAGAAATTAACCATTTACCCACATACACCCTGATGGAGTCCCACTTTCACTGAATACAAGGGGAATTATGCGTACAACTTTTTGGTTGTGAACAACATCAAACCGCGGCAAATTATTTAAGATCGGTTGAGAGGAAATCTCCCAATTCTTTAACAGTAGGTAATATTGAAGGAACAGGGAGGACTGGCTGCACTGCAGATGTTCACCCAAGGGGATATTAAATTGGTTAAATGCATTTACCACACGAACTCCATTGATAATTATTTGTCTGTCAATCATTTGCATTAGGTGGGAGAAGACAATTGTTTTTAAATTCCTTGTTAAACTGAACGCAGCAGTGCGATCAGTGGCATCAGTATATAGCTGAGAGATAGCAAGTCATTCAGGTAATCTTCAAAATTGCAACATTAAGAGTAAATAGAGCAGTGATTCTAATAAAAGCTGAATATAGCTCACAGGGATTAGCTGACCATCACTGATTATTGAGTATTTCATTTTTATCAGATGGAAATTGCTCTAGCCTCTGAAGTTTTTTTGTCTTCTTCTCACGTTATTATGTCTTTGGGTGAAAGTGAATTATTTATATCCATGTCTCATAAAGTTTCCTTGCTGGTCATTGCACTCCCTTTTAAATGGTTTTTGTTTGGTTTTTGTTTGTATTTCAGCCCCACGGTCCTGACATTTGTGCATTCGGAGTGGTGAGGGCAAGTCACAGGACCTCCTGGCTTTGGGCAAGTTGGCTATTTACAAGTCCAGAGCAGTGTGTCATCGCTGCCGACTGTCTGTCCAACATCTGTGGTTGGGTTTCTGCCCAAATGTCCCTGGAAGTGGAGCAGGCTGTGTCGACCAATGCTCTCAAAACCTCTAGAGAAAGGTGGAACCATAGAGATAGAGTACTTTACCGACCCATCCAACTCTATTTTGATTTAGTCCCCTCCCCCTTTCCCTACCTGTCCGTCAACTTTGATGGTTTGCATTGCCTTAATGGGCTTTGTAACTAAATTGTTCAATTGGAAACACAGTGATTTACTAGTGGAGATTAACAGACAGAAAAATATAGTACAGGTAATTCGTTATGGAAAGAAAAGTTCACTTTTGCGTAAGAAAATAAAAGCTGCTTTTAATTACTACAGGCTGTGTGGCACAATCATTTTGTTCCTATCTCTGGACCAGGAGGACCTTTCAAATTCTGCCTGCTCCAAATCTGCATAGTAATATATGTGAGAATTTGATTAGAAATATCTGAAGGGTAGTTGGTCCTATTGTTTATTCCCCTTAACCTTTCAAAAACTGCTACATTATTATCATGTATGTTATATTAATTTCGCTCTCAAAAGCACTCAAAGTTCATTGATTGTGTGTTTTCATCTTACTTCAACATTTCATGTAAGTATGAGAATGTTATAAAATATATTTTAATGCATAAATGTTTAAATACATGGTCACTAAAATTTTGCATCGCATATCTGTAGTGTGAATAACAACTAGTTGTTTACTGTAACATTACTTCTATCTGCTTCAATCACCCAAAAGGTTTGATTTTAGCGAATAACAACAAACGTTATAGAATCAACAAAGAGTATCACGTATTTTAGCTATTCAGTGTATCATTGGTAGATATTCCATTCATCATATAAGCAAAAATGCGCAACATCAAGGGAATGCATCCCACAACTGCGTAATTCTCCAAATCCTTTCAGCAGAAACAAATATAATATTTCAAATAAAATGCGGTGCATTGCGTCGGTACTGACTGCCACTTAACACCTTATTATTGTTTTCAAAATTGACAAATATAGAACAATGCAGGGCAATTGAATTGAAATACATTATACCTAACATGTTGATTTTTAATCAATAACATATTTTAGTAATATTGGGAGACGATACTCTATTGGAATATTTGCAATAATTTAAATCTGATCCGGGCAGGAAATTTGTTAAACACGTTCTTCTTATTTAGAGTAGTATTCCCCTTATTAAAATCAATACTCATCAAACTCGTATTAATCTCTTGCAATTTAATTAGCAAAAAAATTAATTTAAAATCTCTGTATTAATTTTTAGACCTTGAAAGCATTTAGATATCATTCTAAAATTTATTTTCAACGTTGTTAAACATACGTTATGATTTTATCAGATAACTTGCAGCAATCAGAGAGGTCTCCAAGTTTAGAAACTTGTCAGAAACGCCGAACTGCTATCAAAAATTCAAGTGCGTAAAGTAAGCCAGGTAGAATGTTTCAACAGCAAATAAGTGGCAAATCACTCAACCAGACTCTCAATATCTCCGTAACTATTTTCTTAAAATTTAGAGATGCAGTGAAATGGTAGTATCACTTTGCAGCATAGCAAAAAGCAATATTGTAAGCATAGCATCAACCACCTGAACTGTTTAGTTCGCATGGTAATTGTGAAAAGAAACATAAATATGAAATAATGCCACAAATCAAGCAGGACACGAATAAAACATGTTTCTTACCTGCAGTCACCGTCACCATGGTTCCTTGTCCCCAGCTGTCAAGATAGCACAGTGAGTCACACCGCGTCATATATTGGATTCGGTTGTTCGTTGCAAGATACAGAAACTGAATTATTCGGCACACTTAAATATCTGATTCCGAGTCCTCCAAGAGTGCATCACTGGGATATTCAGATAGTTTTGGTGATTAAATCTGAAAACTCTTCGAAACAGTTCTCAGTCACCAGTGCAGTTGTAGTGGGATTATCAATGTGAAAAAAAGTCATAATATTTTCTTGTTGTTGCAATTCAATGTAATTGCTATTTTTTAAATAGATAATTTTCGTTAAGATGGATCTTTAATGGTTGGTACTGATCGCAGAATTTAAAAAGGCCCTAGGGTTTTTGTATGAGGACATCATGATACACAACACTGTGACCCCAGCTGTACCACAGTAATACGACCTCATATAAATACTATGCTGACTGAATAATTGCTGATGTTAGAAATATAATCACATAATTTACAGCAGCTCAATATATTTTGACCATAGTCTAATTGTGAGATTTATTTGGCGGCAGAGTTTTCGACCAAAGTTATCCTCAGCTATGTAATAACCTTTTTCAGTTGACATCCAGTCGTCAGCAGTGAATAATATAACCAGAAGCATGTTCCCTCTCCATACAAACCTAATTAACATCTTTATTGTTCTTTGCCACTGCATTGCTTTAACTCTAACATCTTTCCATCTAATTGCAAATACGTGTAATAAATACTCACCTACGATTCAATGCAATTACTCTTCGGTATTTTTATGCACCCTGGACTTGATTGAGCTGCTGTGCATCTCTTGCACAGTAATAAATGGCGGTGTCTTCGAGTCTGAAACTTTTGATCTCAATGTAGGCTGTAGAAGAGGATCTTGAAGGAATGATTCGGCCTTCGACTCCAGGCGCGTAATAATTGGTATCTGAAGGATTTCTATAAGCAAGGAGCCACTCCAAACTTTTCCCGGGAACTTGCTTAAGCCAATGCACATGGTGGCTGTCAAGACTGAACCCCGACACTGAACAGGACAGTTTATGAGATTCCCCACGCTTTACCGACACAGGAGATGACTGGGTTAACACGATATTGGATCGGACATCTGCAAGTAAATGAAACATACAATAACGTTAGATAGCGAGCAAAAAAAAACTAAAATAGAATATCCTAAGCACACTTCTTTGCGTTATTATACTGTAAATAACACTCACGGGTGAAACAAGACAGCAAAAAGCAGAGGCACGGGATCAGTTGCATTGTCTCGTCTCTTGGCACAACTGGGTAGAGAATGCGACTCAATGTCGGAACAATCCCTCTTGATTGTGAACATGGAGCGGAACCATTCTGCTATTTATACTGGTTGGAGCCTGATATTAGAAACAGCGAGAGAGAGAGGTGGGAGATTCGGAGTCACAGGCCTCCCCTGCAACAGTTTGACTCCTCCTCTGCGTTCCTGTCGCATCCAGCTGGAGATAAAATTATTAACCATCAGTAATCCGTGTTCAATGAATATTTCTAAAAACGTTACTTAATTGGTGTTTGATTGTTTGGAATTAAATATAGTTTTCCCAAAAATGATCAGCTGAAAGTTGAATCGGCGCGAGCAAGTACATTCCCAGTAAATACGTACTGTATTCAGTGTCCAGTTTCACTCAGATGACCGAACATGCTCTTATACAACAATTTTCAAGTTCCTGGGGAACTTTGTCAATGATCAGGACCAATACTTACCATCAGCCAACATTACGAAAGGAAATTATCTCGTTATTCATTGCAATGCGGTTTCATCCCTCGCACTGTGGTAATTTCACAGAGTGGTTCCCCACGCAGCAGTTTGTTAGTATATTTCTTTAAAAAGTTTTCATTGTTGCAAGACAGAGTAAGTGGGGTACTCTGAGGCACTTAAAGGTGTTATAAATCTGTACGTTTTTATTCTTCCCTTTGCTCCCTGTTTGTGGAATAGAATGTAGAAGGAATGCAAGGTTTGATTGACTTATGAGTAAAAACAATGATATTTGCTTTGGGACGTGAAAAACTTAAGGAATAACATCACTCATTGTCCGACGGCTTCCATTGCTAAATGTTTCATTCCACTTTAAAATAACCTTCCCTGAATAAACTGATCACTGAATTTCAGCTACCTGACTTTAGGCTGTTATTCCAATTCACGCTGAACAATTCTCGATGCAAAATATTGACACTTCGACCGGACTGTATAGGTTTGATGACACTGCACGGTTCAGCCGAATGCTATTCACGTGTATCAAATCTCACCGCTTCCCCTTTGAATTGCTGCAGCACCAACTATGAGAAAACCTGTACTGTTGCAGATTGTTTGAGAGATTTGGTATATCATTTGTCTCAAGGCTTCTTTTTTCTTTTAATTTGATCAAGAAAGAGACATAATTAAGTTCATGATGAGTTTAAAGTGTATCTGTTTCTTTGCAAAAACACATTTGTTTGAAATTCATTCACGGGAGGGGAGGCGTCGCTGGCTAAGTCAGCTTTTACTGCCCAGAGGGCAGTTAACAATTAATCACACTGCTATGCGTCTGGAGTCACATGGCGGCCAGAGGAGGCAAGAATGGCAGTTTCCTTCCCTGAAGGACATTAGTGAAGCAAATGAGTTTTTCCCCAACGATCGACAATGTTTTCGTGGTCACCATTAGACTCTTAATTCCAGATTTTTTTATTGAATGCAAATTGCACCATCTGCATGGTAGGATTCGAACCCAAGTCCTCAGCTTCTGAATTAATAGTGTAGTGTAAATACCACCGCATCATTTCCTCCTCTTGCATTTGCACCAATACGTGTTTCATCTTAAAATATAAAGGCTGTCGACTGAAATCATACAAAAAAAATTCAGTGGGTAACTTGAATTCCCAGTCTTCCTCAAGATTGAGATTTAAACTTGTCAAACTGCAGCTTGTCTCTGAGGAAGGGTCACCAGACCCGGAACGTTAACTCTGATGCTGCCAGACCCGCTAAGTTTTTCCAGCAACTTCTGTTTTTGCAGCTTAGTTTATCGAGTAGAAACTTCCTAACGGAATGATACACCGGTATCATTCCTTATCATTTTGTTTCTAACTGTATGATGCCAACTCAGCTTGTGTGTACTTCCAAGGGATTGCGAAAGAGCTTCATGATTACCAGTAAAATTAACTTTTACATTTTAAAATTCCAAACTTATATTGTTCTTCATTTTGTTTTATTTTGAACATGCCATCATCAACACACAGTTTGCATAAAGTCATAACATATGAAATACATTTGAATTGACTTTGCTGAAAGATTAACCACTGCATGGGTTTAATTGAAGTTTGTTCCAAATATATTCCAAGCATAAATCTGCTCTAAGAATTGTCACTGAAAGCCAAAAATTCAGCATCAGCCAGGAGCAGCAAATCACTTTGTAATTTACAGGAAACATCTGTGACTCCTGTGCCGACAATTCATGAACTATTTATGGCCCACTGATCACAGATAAAAAAATTAACTATGTGTTAGACGTTACAGATTGCTCACATTTATACAGGTGTCTGCTCTGTAAATTTACGTTTCAAACGTCCACAGGGGCGTTCAATTCCTAATAATCTGAATGTTTACGAGAGCATGTATATTCTACGAAGTGATTAGAACCAAAGGGATGATTCCTGGAGGATAATACCATTCTGATGCATCGTTGTGCACAAACCCACTGAATTCTTTCCAGATGATATTCTACGGCTCTAAGGCCTGCGAGAAATTCCTGGAGGTTGGAGAAAACAAGGGATGACAAATACTATAAATTATTGCCTGTCACTAGGATAGATGGAACAGGGAATGCAACTCTGAGGCAGATTCCCTTCAGTAGCACTCCATATCCTTGATTAAGGGTAAATATATTAAATACTGGAGGGGCTGGCGTTAGTACATCTGATTAAAAATAGTTGGAAAACATTGAAAACAATGGAAACAATCCTTTTTTAAAAAAAAAATGAAAGTCAAGAAAAGAAAAGCTGAAATTGACAGAAACAATTTCTTGCTTCCCATAACCACACACATGTCACAGAACTCTGTTTGCATGCCTCAATTCAAGTTGCCATCGCTGTCAAAAGATCAAAATTGCCTTAATCAAAGTCACACACGTGTTATTTTCGGATTCTAATTGTGATCTATAATCCATGGAGTATGGGATTAACATAAATTTCCTCCATTTCCTTTAGAAAACGGACTGCACTGTCATCATTTCCCATAGTAACTATCTCCTTGGACTATGGATTGCATTTAGTGCCATTGCCACTGACTGAATTAGAAAACAACAATTCTTGTTTTGGCGCCTGGTCTCATCTTGAGCAGCGATTCTCACCTGAAATCCGCTCGAAAGTCAATATGAGAATTCACCTCCATGACATCGTCTGCACCATCACTGGTTTCAACACAACTACTACTGAAACATTAATCTATCTCTTTTCACACTTAGACTTAAGTAAAGCAATAGTCTGCTGACCAGTTTCCCGACTTTCACTTAAGCCTAAGCCCTCTAGTTTCACACTTCCTTACATGGGGAAAGGCTATTGGCTCTCTACCTCATCAATGCCTCTGAGGATTTTATACATCTCCATCAGGTCACCCCTCAGTCTCCTACGCTCTAGGGAAAAGAGTCCCAGCCTGTCAAACCTCTCTTTATAATTCAGACATTCCAGTCAAGGTAGCATCCTAGCAAACTTTTCTGCAGTCTTTCTAGTTTAATAATATCCTTTCTACCGTAGGACGAAGAGAACTGCATGCAGTACTGCAATTGTGGCCTCACCAAAGCCTTATTCAGCTGCAACAAGACGTCCCAACTCCTACACTCAATGTTCTTATATGCATCCTTAAATGTTAATGTGTCGTTAGCCGCCTTCGCCTTGAAACTGGTATTCCTTCTTAAATCTTTGTTTCCCTCCCCTCCTTCATGATCTGATTTAAAACGACAGCATTTAATAGGTGTACATTTACCTGTCTCAGTATTGCTATTGTGAGTCAGTTTCACATCTGATATGTTCCTGTTTATGGGATGACAACACAAAAGATGCTACAGATGTAGGTCGTTATTCAACAGTGTCTACTTTATTTCCAAGTGAAGGAAGTAACAAGATAGGTTCTGTGTGATGATGAGATGGGCACTGAAAAGTAAAGAATCACGTGTTGATCTAATTACCGTTTCTCTGACTTTTTCCACATTCCCACTGAACACTAGGTACAAAATGGACCACGCCTTATTCAAGGAAAGTTAAATGGGACAGTGTTATCTAAACAGATGAATCATCATCAATGTCAGTTAGTACTATTAAAGAATTCTAAGTACCAAACTGAATATAACTGACTAAAATGCTGAAACATACTGCGAAAGATAATCATTTATGCTTCTGGAAATCATAAGATCTGTTTTATAGAAACACGCCAACGTATGGATACAAAGACATGCAGACTCACAAATGTTACATATTCCTTTTCACTTTTTCCTGTGAAGCAAATGAGAGTTTTGTTTTCATGCAGTAACATTAGAACACCACAGCAGCCAAGTTGAAAGTTCTATACTTTCACAGTTCTAAACTCCATCGACACAGGCTGTGAAACAGCAAAAGATCTATAACATTCTACAAAGGAAACACATGTTTTTAAGTAAATCAGATGTGTTGAATAATCATCATAGTGCAACACAAATGTAAATTACAAACATTAATGCAGCAGAATTTGTCACGGAGCAGGATGAAGTGCAATAGACTTATTTCAATCCAGTCTCTCATTTCCAATTCACCCGAGTAGATTGTTACAACGCTCTGTTTACCTTTTCAAGGCAAGTATTAAAGACTTCATACCAGATAATGCAAAATATATATCAGAGAGTATCAAGTATCTTGTAATCTGTGTAAAGGCATGGATGAGTGTGGTTCTAATCGAGGAAGGCGTCAGTGTGGTACAAACAGCAACAAGATCTAGTGGAACTGAGACAGTGTCACTTAAACAGAGACATGGTTTAGCACTATAATGACTAAAAAAGGAAGAAATGATATCATGGAAGGCATGCTTTTTTTTGCCAATCCCAAGATAAAACCCCATTGCGCTCATTTATACTTTAATCAATATTCATTAAACAAGATTAATGAAGATACTTCAACAGAAATTAAGGCACTATCTTCTTTCGGAGTTCCTTTGTATCAATAAGTAAAATCGAACTGAAATTTGATCGATATTAAATCTTATTAAGGCCTCCAGCAGAATGTGATGTGACATAATATTGTTTTGTTATTGATATCAGAAACAATAGCTGACAGGGATATGTTC